GCAAAGTTCTGGACGTGTTCACTATCACAGGGAACTGCTGCGGCTCAGATTCATTTATGCACAAGTCAGAAAATGGAAAACAAACAGATACTAGCATTAAAATCCAGAGAATTACACCTTGCAAAGTGACAGCAGCAGACACTATTTTGCATATAATGCATATTTACTTGCCTTGGAAATGCATGATTACTGACAAACTTAATACATATTTAACACACTGAGCATTACAAGCAAAACGTTAGGAATTTACTTTTATACACCACTTACAATACCTCCGTGAACTAGTTTCTTATCAATATGCTCAGCACTTTATTAAAAATCATAACCTTATGAACAGTAAGCTACATATTACTAGGAGTAACACGGGTATAACTACGGGAGACGTCAGTTCTCTCCAGAATTTCAGACTATCTTGACTGGATGGCTCTAAGACTTTGGGCAACTTGCTCTAATTTCCACGTCTTTCATTTGGGTGCAACCTGAAGCAACAATGGTTATTTTTACATACACAGGAAAGTGACTGAGAAACATCGGATGCTCAAGCCAACCTTCAAGAGAAGGCTAGAGCATTAACAATCCAGTGGGAAAAACAGAACAGTGCAGAAAACAGTAGTAAACCCTAATCTTTCCCTTTTATATCACTGTCTAGATTAAATACTCAATAGCTTCCGCAACTCAGAGAAGGTGAAGTCACCCAGACTGTTTATCTAAAGCTGAAAGATACTGTGCATGAACACCCATTTCAGTTACATTACTTTTTCCTCCTGGAAAGATTCAAGGATAGAGATAAATTACAATTAAATCCCCAATGACTACATTGTCACATGAACAAATCAACATTTTTTTTTCCCCTAAACAGACGCAGGATATGTTACACACGCCATTGTGTCTATGGTTGTGACTCTACTGCAGGTAAAAAACAATGACACTAATAAAAAGCATCTTTTTCAGGAAAAAGGTTACGTCATCTAGTTGTAAATACTAGCAGAAAAGCCTGTAAAACATTCCTTGAAACTTCTGCATAGTCTAAGGCAGACAAATAGGGTCTCTATTATTCTCAACATTTTGGGGGTAAAAATATTAGAGACTACGTCTTTACGGTGAACTTGAAAGCAAACAGCAAACCTTTAAAGCTGCTGGAGAGGTAACAGGCACTCCCTTTCTTAGCAACCTTGTCACAATCTGAATTTTAGTAGCAAACCTCGTTCTCTGGCATGTTAACTCACTGCAGCATCTGTCACTGCTATGAATGGTTGATCATAAGTACCTCTGTAGTCATCTCAACGCTATTAAGCAGATGGCAGCGCTAAATCCAAATGATGTAGTACATCTCCCTAGTGGACTTTGTTTCCATACACTACCATTATTCTGCAATTCCTCCGTGATAAATCTTATGTATTCTGGAGAACATTAAACAGTGAACTGACAGGGCCAATTGATTTATTGGCACCCGTATCCCTTTGCCCTATTATTGTCTTCAAACACTTGTGTGGATCATGCAAGCAGCCTCTAAGGGACAAAAATCACTTTCTTAATTTGTATCACAGTATTTCAGAGATTTAAAATGAATAGATTTTTTCTTCATACAAAAATGTTTAAATTAATCTACAGATTTAAATTAAGACTCAATTCAATCCTCTTAGTTCCCTCCATAATATTCTTTGAACTTTCATAATAGAAATGCCCTAGTCTTAACATCAGACCATTAAGATAAATCCAAGCAAAGGATTACAGTCCAAAAGGGATCTGAGAAGTCCTTTAGGCATCAGTTAGTTTTTGTAAGTAACCACATATGCAGGTAAAAACTGCATGCACAGAACAAATGCCAGCACCGAGTGCCACCATAGGCAACTGGTTTGGTGGCACTTCACATGCACAAGCCATGTTTTACCCCAAGATTGCAACCACAATGTCCAGCATACAACTGTACGTGTTAAACTACTGCATATATATATACACACATATGTAGGACAGCTATCGTTAAAGAATTACTGCCTCTGCAATGCAAAGCCTCAGAAAAGCCTCTCTACTGGTGCATGGTAGTATAAATTTCAGTCTTTGTGCTTCCCTTAGTTTGGTGTTCAGGGTGATTCCATGACCACAGCTTTTTAGAGTTTTCTGGACACACTATTCAGGTGAAACTGAACTGTCTGGTGGCCAATTCAAAATGACCTGCTAGACTGATTTTCAGAATTTAATATTTCATTTAAAAAAAACTTTTTAAACACAAAAATACTGAACAGCTCAGTTGATCAACTATGTTAGCCAGCATTTGTAGAGTTTTCATCTATCACATCTCTTCTAAAAAATATGGACATCACCATTCAAATTTGATCCAGATCTTAGAGATATCTTTTTAAAGTCAATTTAACATGAAAAATAATTACTTTAGAAGATATCCCCAAGCAGTATTTGGAGCTTAGTAATATAATAAAAATTAATTGTAGATTAAAAAACATTTCAAAGTACAATTATATATATAAAGTTCATAAAGCATGCAAAGCCCGTGCACAGTATGTTAACCTTCATATCTGAGCATATCACCCTATCCCAGGCTCTCTGATTTGATAATTCTGGGGAAATATACTGGACAGAAGCCTGTGGAAAATCAAAAACAACTGGCTCCACTCTATCAGAAACATGAAAATAGTCTTGTGAATCCAAAACGAGTTTCCTGATACTGAGGAACAGGGATATTATATATACTTAAACTAGTGTAAATAATAAATTAAGAACCATTTGTGGAGTTTCCGCATTAATAGTGAAAAGTTAACTAAACTAAAAGATATGCAAGGATTTTGATTCCTTTTTCCCCTCCCCTATGGAGGGAAATAAATTGTTTCACCTGCTAATCAATAAAGGATGCATTTTAAACATGTAAATGTCCTCTTTGCTCAAATGTGTTTTCCTTTCACACTTTGAGGGCAAAGCATCAAACTGATATATAGCTGAAATTGGAATACAATTTTCTCTCCCAGAATTTGCTTCGCAGTAAAGACGTTGTAATGCACCTAAATGTGATAAGTAACTCTCAGTGGTTCCAAATGACATTTTGCAATATGGGCTATTTGATATTCAGATTCAAAGACAGGAAAGCTGCTCTAGGTAGCTCAGATGGCTGCTTATAGTTATTACTTTTTGCCTGCCAATACAATCCTAAAATTATTTTTGCCAAGCCAGAAAAAAGAAGTGTTTGTACCATGTGAAAAGTGTACAGGTGAGTCAGTTGTGTTTCTTTTCTTTCACTTATGATTAAAAAAGCAGCAATCATTCAGGAAATAATAAATTAAAAATCTAAATAGATACACTGTGAAAATAAAATATCTGTGTTATGATATGCTTCTTTCTACATCAGGCTAGGAATACACTTTATGTATTTTTACATATAAGTAGTAAGGATGATGTACATGATGTACAATAATAAAATTTACTTCCTTGGAAAATTTGCTTTTCGCTAATTTTAGCTCAAAGGAAGAAAAAAGCCTTCTTATGAAAAAAGTAAGTATTGTTTCTAGTTTTGGCTCAGTCTCTTTGGCTTGGTAATGAAATTCAGACGTTTGCATGTAATAAACCCTTCTACCAACACTAGAAGTAGTAACACAGAAGAGAATTATCAACATAAAACTTGGTAATTTTGGGGGAAAATTATCAGCAGCTGCTCTCTGAATGCAAAATTCTATGGAGACTCAGATATTGGAGGTCTTCTACTGCTGTTGTCTTAGCTTATATTACTGTAAGCTTCTGAAAATTGATAGACGAGGCTCAGGAGTAAAGTATCAGTAGGGAGAGTATTACTATCATTATGATCAGAAACTTCAAAGCAGTTTACAACAGTGACAATACTTCAATATTTCATTAAATTTTACCTTTTTTAAAAAAAATCAGATACTATTCAATTCCATAACAATATTTCAGTTGGGTGCATCAGCAACCAAAGCATTTCCCAATTTTGAGTCTAAAGGAATTTGTCCTCTACTGTCTTGGGAGCAGAGTTCTGTATTTTTTCAGATGAGGCTACAGTGAGAAGAGTTGTCTTAAACATGTTTAGCAGAAAGTAAGTTTTCAATGACATTACAAAAGCTACTACTGCTGAAATTATGAAGGTTTGCTCTGGGAAGGGAAAAAAAGGGAATAAGTTATTGTCAAGTAAAAAGTGCACAAAAGTTTTCTTGTTTAAGGATGTGCACATTATAACTACTTCATAATGGTACCATCAGCCAAGCCACTAAAACTGTCACTTATATTTGCCATTAAGTTTTAACTATGACTTAAGACAAGGAAGTGGTTTATAATTCACTGCATCTGGTTCTTTCATCATTAAAAACTTACACAAGAATTTGCCTTGCATATCATAGAATTTAGATTCACAGACTTTTTAAAGAAAGCAAAATCTTAAGAGAATTAGACTACTTTAAAATACTGTAGGCAAAGTACAGTGGGAGAAAGACAGGTGGCAAGAGATTCAAATTCATTACCCAAGGGAGCTGAATATGTATATTTTTATAGCAAAGTAAAATATTGAGGTAAAATATTTGAATATAGCCATGTTTTGAAGGTGCGAAAATTCCACGAGCTCTGTATTTCACGTTATTTTACACTTTTTAAAAAGTGATCCTTTCTAGGCAAAGGTTAGTATCTTTTTGTAATAAAGAAGCCCCTATTATCCTCCTCACCCCCAAAACAAAAACAAACAAAAATACTATAAGCCTCCATGAGAAGAAATAATAATAATAAAAAAAACTATTTCCCAAATTAACTTCATGAGCTGCTAAAAACTGATTTACAACCCAAAATACAGAATTTTCGTCCTTACAAGACACCTATTCCTATTTCATCACATTTGCAGCACTGTTTTGATACTGGGTTTATAAATAGCACTGGAGATCACTTATAGAAAACTCAAAATTCTTGAGGTTAAAATCATTAGCATAAGTGAAATCAACTTTCTAACTGTAGATTATTTCAGGTGTAGTTAAAGCACAAACAAGTCTCAAACTTACCTTTGTGCTTGGGCGCTATAGCTGTTATCATAGGAATCGTAACTCTGTTCATCGTAAGCAGTCCCATAACCATCATCATACTCCTGAAAGGATGGAAAAGAAAGGCAATATTAACCTTAAGCACACGCTAGAAACAAGAAAACTACTTCTAAAATGGGAAAAAGAGTGCTTTTCTAAAATAGCCTTGTTCCAGAACACACAGACAATGAAGTGGCAAAATCTTAATATTATTAATACTTAACTAACTCCACCTAAAAGGCCACCTACCTTTAATATATTATGTATTTTTAGCTATTGGAAGACACATGCTTGGAAAAACAAGAGAATTTTTAAACAAACACTATCTTTTGTTTTAGTTAAGAAAACCACACTGGCTTATATAGGAAAAAACAATACAGATAACCCTACATATTTAAATTTGTAAACTTAAAGAAACTTCTTTGGGAATGAAAACACCCAAATAATATCATCACTTATGTAGCATATCCTTAATTTTGGAGATGAAATTCAATATTCACACATAGACTACAAGTGGGAAAGGCAATGAAACTGCCTAGAAATAATGTCTGTAAGAAACACATCTTTAACTTCTTTCTTCTGCCCTCTGCATACACTTAAACTTGTGGGGTTTCAGCATTCAGCACATTATCTAAGGCATTACTGAAGGACTGCAACTCAGATCTTCCCAAAATAGCACTAGATTTAAATACCTGGTTGAAATAAACCACATTAACTCCTGGAGAAAAGCTGCATAGGAATTTGAGCAAAGGTAAATACTTGACAATAAAATGTGGAAATCCAATGAACTTAACTTATAATTTGACAATGAATCTGAGTTAAGTGAGTTAAAACTAGCATTTCCTTGCTATTGATCCTTAGAAATGATATGATGAAGAGTTAGGAAACCTAATCTAAACATCTCACAGGCCTTGGTGGATATTTGGGGTATCTCATCCAGTTTCAACAAATGAGGTGAAAGTTTGGTGAAGATACTTTTCATGGGACTGGGTCTCTTTTCAAATCAGGCATCAACTTACAAATTTGTATCTGGAGCTAGAATGGTGCTTTCAGAATATGTGTATGCATCAACTCTGTCAAATTAGGATATAGTCTCACAAAAGAACAATCCCTCTCCTGCAAAAACAGACTTCTTTAATAACTGAAAATTATAAAACTCCTGGTATCGGTAAGGCAAGGAATACCAAGCTGATGGATTACAGGGTAGAACACCATACCACCTCCAGTGATTCAAACCTGGCAACTTTCTAGATATCAGAAGGAAAGTCTTCCACAGCAGGAAGAGCCAAGGACAGCCTTGAAGCTAGAGAGATGAAGCTGCAAAATTTTTGTCTTTAGAAGTGTTTTGGGGGAGGTTGTTAGATTTTAATAGCATCTTTCCCATAACTGGAAATGGCTCTCGTGGAGGCAATTTCCTAGGCAAGTTCCCATCAATACTACCCATACCACTGCCACATCAACAGATAGGATTGTCCCAGGCAATGGTTAGCAGAAATATGTCTATGAAAGCTTTGAGACATAAATGAGTGACAGCCCACCAGTAGGCCTACAAAAAAACAAGCTTTGATTTAAATGCTGATGAGGAAACCAAGGGAAGGTCCCATTTGAAGAGCAAAAATCATCTTTCCTTTGAATAATTCATTGTCCTGAAGCTAAGAATTAGGATAGTACTTTAGCATTTTCTCTCCCATCTGATAAGGATATGGATTTTTCTTGATAAGCCACACACCAAACCCAGAACCATTGCCTCCTGGCAGTTATTATGAACAAGCACTTTATTACTTATTGATGCAATACAGAGACATCTGTTAACAGCACAGACATTGATGAACAGCAGAAGTCATCTCAGACAACTTGTTTGCTCTGTTCCAGAACATTTCCATGACATTTGGTCTCCTTTCAGCAGATCTACCAACTGTGACCCATCCATCCATCCAAAACTTAGTATACACACACATCGGTGACCAGAAGTAGAGGATGTAGATTAACCTTTTCCCTTACATTTTAGGAAAGTTTTGCACGAAGGTGTTCTTGGAGAACCAGGCAATCAATCCTTTTAATTGCAGTTATGTTAGCTGTTTTACTAAAAAATTATCATGAAATAAAAAGAAGAAAGATTACTCTGAAGCTGTGGTATATTTGACTTCTAACAGACAAAAAAAAAAAAAAAAAAAAAGGAACAACCTAAGCTTGAAATAGGAAGGGCCTTATTAGGCTAACAATGAAAGCAGCAGAATGAAAGTAGAGTATCTAAACTTTAACTAGAAAAAATATTTGGTATCTAGCTTTAATAGGTAGGATTCTTGTCACTTCGGGTTTAAGAACACCAACCTGGGCTGTTGCCATTGCCATAATCTACTAAGGTAGAATTGTCAGTTCTTCCAGTCTAAGTACAGTATTCCTGTATTTATACTTATAAAGAACAAGACTATATTAAAAAAACTGCAGGCAAAAACAGGATGTAAAAAATAAGAGTTGCTTTCAATGACTTGTTCCACTAAGAGTTAAATGATCCAAATTCCAGAGCATTTGCTACTATGAACAAATCTCTTAAAATAACAATTATGCAGAGGCTGCTCAAGCAGCTTCAGAGCTTTAACTCAGTATGGTCTGACATACTAGTTTCCATCATACAGCATTTGAAAACTTTCCCTTTCAAAAGGTTGCAATAAGGTAAACCAAAGTATTTTACATATTTGATGGTTTCCATGAATGTTTTCTCCAACCTTACTTGGTATCTATGCAAAATATTGCTCCATTATCTGAAACATAATGATATAAAATACTGTGCTAATCTGAATGAAAATAACTTTTTTGCCATTTACTTACAAACATAATGGAAGCTACAGAAGAAAACTTTGTTATGGAAGAGCTGAGCACACAAGCATAATCACTGACAGGCATGGTTATAGTGATTTCCTTCTATAGCATACACAAATTGCACCTCCACAGTTTTTTCTCTGCTGATTTTCCAGGACATGTTCTAGACATTTAT